AAAAGTTGGCCAGGTGTGGTGGCACACGCCTGTAGTCCCAGCTACTCTGGAGACTGAGGTGGGAGGATCGCTTAAGCCCAAGAATTCGAGGCACCTCCCTCCCTCTCTTGCTTCCTCTTTTCACCATATGATCTCTGCACATGCTATCTCCCCTTCTACCATGAGTGGAAGCAGCCTGAGACCTTCACTAGGTGCAGATGCTCAATCTTGAACTTTCCAGCCATTCAGAATTGTGAGCCAAATAAATCCTTTTTTTTTTTTTTGAGACAGAGTCTCACTGTGTTGCCCGGGCTACAGTGCCATGGCGTCATCCTAGCTCACAGCAACCTCAAACTCCTGGGCTCAAGCGATCCTCCTGCCTCAGCCTCCTGAGTAGCTGGGATTACAGGCATGCGCCACCATGCCTGGCTAATTTTTTTTTTCTATATATTTTTAGTTGTCCAATTAATTTCTTTCTAATTTTAGTAGAGACGGGGTCTCGCTCTTGCTCAGGCTGGTTTCGAACTCCTGAGCTCAAACAATCCGCCCGCCTCGGCCTCCCAGAGAGCTAGGATTACAGGCATGAGCCACCGCGCCCGGCCCAAATAAATCTTATTTCTTTATAAATTACCAGCCTCAGGTATTCCTTTATAACAACACAAAATGCACTAAGACAGTCAGGTAAGGACATATGTATGAAACATACTTCCAACCCCAGAGAGAGTAGGAGAATTCATGGCTCTGTCCTCACCTCTCTGGAGAAGCTTGAGGCTCTCGTGGTCTGGGGCATCTGGCATGAAGTGGATGGTGGAGTCACTAGTGTCATAGTAGGCAATGCCCAAGTATCCTGAATTCCATAGCACACACAAATGGATCTGTCCAGCGAGGAAGAAAGAAAACTAATATTTGAATCATTCGTAAGTGTAGGCTATTGTCATCCTTATTTCATGTTAACCTTTCTCCCCCTCATTTTGTTGTCTTTATTTGCACAGTTGTCACCATCTGATCATTGGCAGGTGAATTTGTACTGTGCAGAGATCAGGCAAAGGTATTCTAATGAGTAGGAGCAACCCGAGGAAGTCCACACATCCAGGGTCAGGCCACGGGAAGTTTTGGTAGTGTCATTTACTACATTATAGTAAATGTGGAAAGGGACATTAATGGAAGATTGTGAAAGACCTTAAATATCAAACTTTTGTTCTGTGAATGGTGGAGAATAGTGACAACCAAATGCACTACATCATTTGTGTGTGTAAATGCTAATCATTGTATCAAACCTCTGGGACAGGCATCATCACCCCCACTTAGTAAATGTGAAACAGACGCTCAGCAGAGCTAAGAGACTTGCCTAGCTCTTCCCAACCCCCTTTTATTCTAACATTTGTGTCAACTCCCTGCTCTCCCGATTGGAGCTCCTGCGCCCCCAGAGACCTCAGCCAGCTCCTCCTCCTCGGCGTCGTCCTCCTGCTCTGCCTCCCTGGGGCCGGGCAGTGGGGTGGGGCCCGGGCTGGGGAAGCTGGCGGAGGCCGCCCCAGGCCCCGGTCCCTGCGGCGTCCTGCCTGGGGTCCCTCCTAAGGAGGCCATGAGGCTCTGCGGATGCAGAAAGAGAAGGCGGTTCAGAAGCGACATTTCACCCACGAGGAGGCTGGCGTAGGGTTGCGCGCAGAAATGCAAGTCCACTGAGACCTGCGAGAGGGCGAGGCGCAGGGCTGAGAGTGGCGTGGAGAGCTGTGGTGACAGGGATGGGGGCATTTTGAGGAGACACTTCTCAGTTACTTCACTGAAGTACAGACTGTGGGAAACTCCACGTGCCCCACCCTCATTTCTGTCACGCAGAGGTATTTTGGAAGGAGATCGTCTGAGGGCCCCGTGGGCGAGCTGTGCACGTCCAACCTCATTGCCTCTGGCAATCACGTCCCATGACCACGGCCTGACGCTCTGGACTCCCTCCTCCCCCAGTTGTCGCCAACTCGCGACGTTTTCCCGCCTTTTCTGTCACCTGGGTCGCGACGTAAGCCAGATCACCCCACTGACCAACCGCCACGAGCGCGCAGGCGAGGTGCGCACGCACACGCCCCGCCCTCCTAGCCGCTGTCCGTCGGAGATACCCGGATCCAGCCTAGAGATCCGACAGGGCGAGAGGGAGGAGTGAACTGCAGTGACTGAAAAGTCTGGACAGTGATTGGCCTATTCTCATTCAGGGCGGGGCCAGAACGTTCAAACTTCCCGCCCTCCATTGTTGCTTAGCAGCCGGGCCTCTGGCCTCACAGTTTCTGGGCTTTCATTGGCTCAGCGGGGAGCGGGCGAGAAGGTCTGGAGCCGAACTACAGTCCCAGCCCCGGGAAGGGGTCTGGGGGCGTGGAGGGTGGGTATGGGGAGGAGGCCGACATTAAAGGGCCAGAGGCACTATTTTTTTTCTGGAGAGTGGAGATAAGCAACATTAATTCAACCCATGCCAACAACGCTAAGTTAATATTTGTACCCTCTGAGTTAATATTTATAAAAAGCTTAGAACAGTGCCTGGCAAAGAGCTACGTGAGTGTTTTAAATAAACAAGCGGAAATAATCGGGACTCCCGTCTCAACTATACTTTGCCTGTTTCCTGGGTGCAGGGCATGACCACTCCCACAAAGGTATTACAGCGCCTAATGTATTATCCGGGCTGCTCAAGCGGAGGTGGAAGCATTTGAATTACACCAAATTCTGGCAGAGAGAAATAGATCTGATCAGAACACCACCTACTATTGGGACATGCCCATATCCCTATATACACATACACAGTCCTAAGGACAGAGCGGTATCATGCATACATTCAGAGACTATTTATTTAGTGCCTACTCTGGGCCAGGGGATAGATTTAAAGCGGTGGACATAATGAAGTCTCTGCTCCATAAAGCTTATTAGTGTGTATATGTGTGTGTTGGGGGTGGCGGGGCGGGGGGGAGATTGTGAGGGAGAAAGAAAGAAACAAATAAATACTTTTCTAAAGTCCCCTAAAATGCACCTTCCTCCCCAGCTTTGTTCTCAGTACCGTGAGATGAGGAGATTCCTCCTTCCCAAGAGGTTAGGACAGACGGTGGGACTGAGATTTCCTGGCTGTGCTGACCAATGATTGGAAAATTCCCTCTAGGGAGAAAGGTGGCAGAGCAGAGTTGAGGGCTGGGTTAATGGTTACCCCTGGCAAATTGTTGAGCAATGGAACTATGGAAACCTGGAGAAGGTTGGTGACAACTCTGGGGAGTGTCAGAGAGGGACACACCTTCCAATCTAGGGTGTGAAGAGATTAGGGACTGGTTTACCAAGCCCAGGAAGGGGAGGGAGTGGAAAGAGAAGTCTAGGGAAGGAAAGGGGAGATACTGAAATAGGAAAAAAACAGGGACAAAGAGATGAGGAGGGAGAGAAACCTCTGATACAAGACTTGGGGGTGCAGCCCTAGCCTCAGATCCAAGAGGCATTGCTGGATGGTTCCAGGAGAGGGTAGTGTTGCCTGTCACCTGGGAAGTTAAAGCAAGATACCCTGGGGGTAGCCATGCCAGCCAGCCAAAGTCAATATTGATGATCAGGACAGCTGTAGCTATAAAGCTGTAGGAGAGAAAAGAGAGGCAGGGGAGAGGCTGCCAAACCTGTTTATGTCTCAAACTAGCCCCATTGACCTGAGGCTTCTCTCAGAGGGGTGATCTTTGTGGGGCAGATACCCTCTAGTTGACACTGACCAGTTGGAACAGGAGAGGACCCTGGGAAGTGGAGCTGCTTTGATCCCCTCCCCTCAGTAGGAAGGGGTCCTGTGTGAAGATTTTGAGGGTCACCATGGACAGGATTCGCACATGCACTCATGGAATCATTCTATATCCTTATAGGTTGTTACAGTTCAAGGGAGCAAACACCAAATATATTCCCTCTGTCTGGAGAGAAACGGGCCTTCCCTCAGGCAGGAGAAAACCCGAAGAAGAAGCACTAGAGGAAATCACCAACTGCTGGTTTTCAGCTGCACATCACATCACTCCACCCCGCTCCTCCCCCAAGTCTCTCTCTTTCTTTAAGTTTCAAGCCCTGTTTTGTTTCTATGTCCTTGCACTCCGCATGGTTTTCTGGAATCGTAGGTCTTATTTTGGACACAGGGTGATGAAGAGGCAAGAGAAGAATATCTCTGTCATTTGGGAGACATATTCTGCTGCTGTTTTTCAGCAGGTCATAAAGTGCTTTAACAGCACCTCCAAAATCAGGGTTACTGGGGAGGGAGAGAGCTACTCTTCCTCTCTCCACCCTACTTATTTATGTATGTGTCCCCAAGGACTCCACTCAAACTATTTTGTCTGATCTTTGCTTTATCCCCATGATAGGACCAGCTACCAACCCCCTCACCCCCCCACATACCCCAAGATCAGTGCAGCTCTATCCTAGAGCCTCCATAACCCCACCCTCTGCCCCATCTCCAAGGCAACCTGTCAGTGAGAAGAGGGCAAGGGGCACAGGAAGGGGCCCCCATGGGGATGGGGAGGAGCAGAAGTGGAAGCACAAAGTGACCAGCTATAGGGCTTTCCTGGCAAGGAAGCCTCAGCTTCCTGTTTCCCTAGCACAAGACCTGCTAGTCTCCCTTCCCATCCCCAACTTTACCTATCACAACTTCCTATCCCCAATCCCAGCCTTCCACTTCCAAGTTCTTCTTCCAGACCACAGTCCTAGCAACCCAGAATTTGGACTGGAGTCAGGAGGGAATAGAGAAGCATTAAACGACCACCATTCCATTCCAAAACCACATTTCTGGATCTTCATGGGCTTGCCCAAGCTGTTAGTGTCAAGGTTCTTATATGAGGATGGAGTGGGGTTGTTCTCTGATTAATGAAGCAGGGAAACTGAGGCAGAAAAAACTCTTGTGTTCAAGAGAGGTGGGAGAAACAAAGAGGTTCTCAGGACTCCCTCCCCTTAACACCCCCATCTCGATCCTCCGGGAGACCTGAGGACTTTCCCTCCGGACCCACTCCCTACATCGTCCAACCCCGCCCCCCTCCAATTCCCCACCCCAGGTTCAGGGCGGGGCTGGTTGGTGAGTCAGCGGCTCCCTGCTCCAGCCCGCCTGGGGACAGAGCTTGACGAGCCGGGCGTCGGCGCGCTGGGCTGGTGGGGAGGCCGTGTCTAGAGCAAGTGGGTCTGATTGGGCTTGTGTTGCGCTGAAGGAACAGCCCTAGGTCTGGGGGAGAGAATTCCTGACTCTGAGACCCGCCTTCCTCGGCCCCAGCCCCTCCCAGTTCCCCCAGCGACAGCCACTTCCTGGTCCTCAACGCAACCATGGCTGAAGAACAACCGCAGGTCGAATTGTTCGTGAAGGTAAGAACACCTTCTCTCTCCTCGGCCATCCGAATTCCTGGAAGCCAGCCCCAGCCTTAACTCCTCAATCCCTTCCCTCCTTGACCCGCACCCCCAATCCCACGTGCAATCTTTGGGGTGGGACGGAAGGGGGAGAAAATTAACTTGTAAGCAGGGAATGAGAGTTTTAGAATTAGCCCAGAAAAGTTTGTAAAAGTGCAAATTTCTAGCAGCCTAAAGGAAAGGAAGATAGAGAAAAAGGAGAGATTCTAGGAGTGAGACTGGGGTGGGGTGGAGGGCGAGACGACGGAAGGACAGGGAGAGAAAGGGGCAGCGGGAGCCCAGCGGGGCTTGGGAGGGACAGAGGGAAACAGCAGTTAGAGCGTGTGGCCCTAGGAGAAGATCGGAAGATGAGGGGCGTAGTCGGGGAGAGGTGTGTGTGTGTGTGTGTGTGTGTGTGTGTGTGTGTGTGTGTGTGTGTGTGTGTGTGGCAGGGGCGGTTTCAAGGAAGAGGGTGTGTTGAAGGAGGCTTGAGAGTGAGGCAAGTACGCTGGGAAGAATTGGTGGGGTGGAAGGAAAGAGAGGGGAGAGTGGGAGTGGAGTTCGGGAAGCAGGCTGGAAAGTGATCCGGTGATAACGAACGTCCCCAGAAATCGAGAGAAAGGGAGGCGGCAAGGAGATGGGAGTTTCGCAGTAGCTACCACGAGGATAGGTGGGAGAGAAATCAGGAGAGCTGGGGTAGGGCACTCAGGATTTGGGAGTTGTAGAAGCAGGAGAAGATTCGCCCGACTCTCTCCTCTCTCTGTGGGTGTGGATGAGGAGAGGTGGTCCCGTGGCATTTAGGGATCAAAACCGCAGGCGGCCGCCTTCTCTGTGTCTGCCCGGCTCTTCCCCATTCCGGCGGCCGCTGCGCTCCCCACCAGCGCTGCCCTCTTTCCCGGTCTTGGGACCTCATCTCTGTGCCCCTCCCTCCCGTTTCGGTGTTCTCTCCTCCGTCGTCGCGTCTCCCTGTTGCACGTTCTCCCTTCCCTCTGCTTTCCTGCTCCTTTCTCTCCACTCCCCCACTTTTGTACATCTCATCTTTGTGTGTTCCTGCGTGTCTCTGCCGCTCCTTTCTGCTCAGGTCTCAGGCAGCCCTTCCCTCTTCCCGGGCCCAGTGAAGTCCACCTCGCTTGGGTCCGCCCCCTTAGGTGTGGTCCCACCTCACTCTCACACTCGCCTCCGGGGCTATTTTTACTCCTGGGGGAGGCTTTGCCGCAGAGAATCCAGCCTGGGTCCTGTGTGGGGAGGATTATCTGCAGTCAGAGGACTTGTGCTGGGACACCCCAGCAGTAGGGGTGGGTGGTTAGCTGCCCAGGCCTCAGCCTCACAGGTCCCTGCCCCCACTTCCTTGCCAGGAAGGAAGCTGCTGAGGCCGGAGACATAGAGAGATGAATCACCCTCGGCTTAGGGGGAGGTGTCCCTTGGGGGAATGAGGTCACCACTTGCTAATTAGAGGGCAGCCCCCTTCTGCAAGGCCCTCCACATCTCTAGGGTGATGCTTGGGACCCCTTGACTCAACTCCCCACTCAGCCAAATCCCACCCCACTTCTCCTGTCCTCAGACTCTACTCCATTCAGGAACCCAGGAGTCCAGGCCTCTAGCCTACAACTCTGGCCCCACCAAAGTCCCATACCATTTCCTCTCTGGAGTACAGAGATCCATCCAAGATCCATCCCCGTTGCCTACCTCCCACCTGTCCTCATTCTCTGGGAAACCAGAAGCCTGCCTTTGCAGAAAATTTTCCCACTGACCTACCCCAGTTTGATGTAGGCCCAAGAATGGGGAAGCCAGTTCTGGGGGGAGCTTTTAGTGGAGGACAGTGTATGTGTCATGACTAGGCAGCAAACAGCTGGTCTGGGAGTAGCAATGTAGAGGATGGCTTGGGGATGTGTGGGGTACACTGGGCCTAATCTTGCAGTGGGGGTTGCTTTTCAGGCTGGCAGTGACGGGGCCAAGATTGGGAACTGCCCCTTCTCCCAGAGACTGTTTATGGTGCTCTGGCTCAAAGGAGTCACCTTCAACGTCACCACCGTTGACACCAAGAGGTGGGTTCACTTCTGTCCCTCTGAACACCCCTTGTGTACATACATGTGCATACACACTCACCAACCCTAGTCCTTCTGTCTTGAACCTTTTCCCCCCCTCCTTCTGGAGTCCCTTTCTCTTCCCTCATCCCTTCATCCCCCGGTTCTGGTTCTCACTGACCCCTTTTTCCTGTCCTGATGCCTGGGCCCTTCTCCAGGCGGACTGAGACAGTGCAGAAACTGTGCCCAGGAGGGCAGCTCCCATTCCTGCTGTATGGCACTGAAGTACACACAGACACCAACAAGATTGAGGAATTTCTGGAGGCAGTGCTGTGCCCTCCCAGGTATAGAGACACTCGGAAAGGGGAGGGGGGACCTGGGAGACTCTGGGAAACAGGTTGAAGAAATGGAAAACAGATGGCGATGGGGCTGGGGCAGGGGAGCTAGCTGAGCCTTCTCCCAGTGAGATATTTTACCTTGTTTTTCCCATTGGCTTTCAGGTACCCCAAGTTGGCAGCTCTGAACCCTGAGTCCAACACAGCTGGACTGGACATATTTGCCAAATTTTCTGCCTACATCAAGAATTCAAACCCAGCACTCAATGATAGTGAGTCTTGGGGGTCAAAGGCCTGGGTCCTTGGAGGAAAAGAGAAGCCTCAGGGCTTGGAGGTGCTAGGGGCACCTGGAAGTTCAGATATCAGGGAGATGGAGTAGATGTTGGTAAACCTCTCCCAGTCCCTCCATTTTTGCTTTACTGCTATATTTCCCTGCATTCTCACTGGCTGAGACTTTTAAGCCTCTCTCATTTGTCCTCTAGCCTCTTCTGCCCCGTTGGGGACATTAGTTGGCTGCTGGCCTATTTTCTGGCAGAATAGGGTTATGCTTAAAAACAATGACTAGATCCAGACCACCTGAGTACAAACCCAACTATCTGTGTGACTCTGAGCAATCATTTAACCTCTCTGTAAATCCAGTTCTGGATCTGTAAAATGAGGATAACAATGCCTATTTCATGGGTTGATATGAGAATTAAATAGAGTTTTGTTTTTAAATGTAAAGTGCTTAGAATAACACATAGAAAACTAACTACATTAATGTTAGCTATTATTATTTTGGATTGGCCATTAGTATCCACCCCATATGATGCTTTCTGGACTATGTCGATCTCCTGAAGTTCTAACCAATTTCCTCTCCTGCACAGATCTGGAGAAGGGGCTCCTGAAAGCCCTGAAAGTTTTAGACAATTACTTGACATCCCCCCTCCCAAAAGAAGTGGATGAAACCAGTGCTGAAGATGAGGGCATCTCTCAGAGGAAGTTTCTGGATGGCAACGAGCTCACCCTGGCCGACTGCAACCTGTTGCCAAAACTCCACATAGTACAGGTGTGTGGTCATTGTGGAAGGAGAGGATGGCCACTGGGATGGCTCTTTAAGGAGCTCCCCCAAGGGCTTCCCATGACAACCACTCCAAAGGTGGCTTCTTTCTTAGGGTGATTTCCATAGATTGCTACTAATGGAAGACCCCACCCCAGTCCTTACAGTCCTTGCTGGCAAGACCACTGTTTGAGAGAATTACATTCCACAATAGAAGCCATCGGTACTAACAGACTGGCTGAGAGTAACACACCCCAGTATTACTTTGAAGAATGCTCCTCCTATCTCTGTATCACTGCCAAATCCCCAGATTAGACAGAGCAGGCTTTTCCTAAAGTCAAAGCTTTAATTCTCTTTATAGCTTCAGTCTTCACTTCCTCTTGTGAAAGTGAAATGCTGGTTCTCATGTTTTTGTCATAGCCTCAAATCTATGGTTTAGTTTGTGCAACATGGGCCCAATGTCAGTCTGCCACATGACTGTGTAATCCAGCCTTCTTGTCCAGGCATTCAAGAACCTCCACCATCTGGCTTCTCTTCCTACTGATTCTTATCTCCCACGTGAATCGTCTCTCTCAAGTCCTCAAGGTCTTGTAACATCTTCAGCCCTCCTCTTCACTTAGTGAAATCCTGGCCATTAATAACCAGCCCCCTTCCAGACCACCTCATTCCATGGACAGGCAACTATATACACTAGGCATTGAAAGACACAAAGATGTATGGTGATTGGTACTTGCCTCAATGAGTTGTAATCTAACTGAGAAGATACAACGTTCACATGAAAGTTTAACAAGGACACATGACTAAAAATCAAATGAAAAATAGAGACAAAAGTCACTGTGGAAATTCAAGAGGAGAATTTTATGGTATGTGAATTAATATCAATTTTTTAAAAAAAAAATCAAGAGGAAAAAAGTAGCGCCATGGAATGAGGTGGTCTGGAAGAGGGCTGGTTATTAATGGCCAGGATTTCACTAAGTGAAGAGGAAGGCTGAAGATGTTACAAGACACTGAGGATTGGAGAAAGATGATTCATGTGGGAGGTAAGTATGGCCGGCAGAGAAGCCAGATGATGGAGGTTCTTGAATGCCTGGACAAGAAGGCTGGTTTAATCACGTAGGCCTTGGGAGAAAGGAAAGACCAGCAGCATGACAGTAGCTTCCCTGGGCTAACATGTTTGTGCCTCTCCTCTCCCCACCCCAGGTGGTGTGTAAGAAGTACCGGGGATTCACCATCCCTGAGGCATTCCGGGGAGTGCATCGATACTTGAGGAATGCCTATTCTCGGGAAGAATTCGCCTCCACCTGTCCAGATGATGAGGAGATCGAGCTGGCCTGTGAGCAAGTGGCCAAGGCCCTCAAATAAGCTCCTCCTGGAGCTCTCAGCCCCCTCCGTTTTCTCCACAGAGGCTCTGGGTAGTTTCCACATTGCTACCCAATGGACACACTCCAAAATGGCCAGTGGGCAGGGAGCCCTGGCGCACTTGTGCAGGGCTGGGGTGGGGGGAGGGGATGAGGGAAAGGGATGGGGGCCTGGGTGAGATTTTTATTGTGGGGTGGGGTGGGTAGGACAACCTATTTCAGTAATAAAATACAGAATAAAAATCTAGTGTTTTTACACAAAGGTGGCTTGAAATGAGGGTGACACCAGATGAGGAGTGGATCAGTGATCTTGAGCTCAGTGCAGAAGCCAGGAATTAAGGCGGACATTTGTGGTGGGGCTGCGATTTTTAGTGCCGGTCCACCGTAGCGCTGTCCTGTGATCCATGTCGCATTTGCAGCCCCGCCGCAAGGGCCGGCCAAATCTGGGTGGGCCTGGGCAGCGTTCGCGGGGCGGGCGGTGCTGACTTCTGGCAAGGGGGGCACAGTCTGGGTGGAATGGGTGCGGCATAGCTGGGCGGAATGGGTGTGGCCTCCAGAAGCCCCGCCCCGTCCCGCTTAGACAATGCCCCGGAGCAGCCAGACCGTCGCGCCCCCGCCCCATCGTAGTACATGAGCTCGCCTACCCGAGGACCCCCTAAAATTTGGAGCTCCCAGTTCCCGAGGCTTGAAGACTGGGACTCCCTTCCCCATCAACTCTGTCCTCAGGGGGTGGGACCCCAGCCGAGATCACAGCGCGACAGGAGTGGGGGTGGCAGCTGGAGGTGAGTCTGGGGTGGGGGGTGTCCCCCGGACCGTATGGGGGCCGGAGTTTGGGGGTGCTGGGACCATACCCGCACCAGACAGAGAGTGCGGGGAACCAGCATGTGGGCGCGGAGCTGGCGGGATGGACTTTGGGGGAAGATGGACTGGGGGACCGGGTCCTGGAGCCTGGAGTGCCCCGGAACCACGCCCACTGTTTCCCCGCCCCTTGCATTTCGTTTTAGACCTCTCCCAGTCCTCCGGGACTAAGTCTGGTTTATACTGGGTCGTGCTAAGGGCAACGTGACGGGCCGGGGTGGAGAGAGGATGCTTAACTCCTTAGGCTCTAATTCCTCCCCCCACCCCTCTCTCCCCGCCTCATTCGGGCATCCGGGACTTCCATCCCCCAGGCCCTGGCTCTCTCCCCAGCTTTCTCCGCCTGTCCCATAGCCCCTGTGGGTCCCGAGCCGGACTTAAGGTCCCTACACCAGCGAGCAGCCGAGGGTTAAGGGGGCGGGGCCGCTGCATTTTTGGGGAGTGAGCGCATCCTAGCGGTTGCCAAGAGGGGCGCCGGTCAGGGACCTCACCAAGCCCCCGAGTCGGGGCAACAGGTGTTTTGGAGATTAGGGATCCCAGCCTTGTTCCTCGGACTCCTCTTAAAGAAGCAGACTCGAGAGGGTGCGGGGTAGAGTGAGGTCGACAGTAGAGGAAGGTCGGGAGGGGGTGGGGCGGAGTGGGAGGGGCGCTCAGAGATGGCGGGAGGAAGACCTGGGCGCTCCTAACCTCCCCGCACACCCTTCTCTGCATGTCTTTCTCTGCCTCCCCCCTTTTCTGTTCCTTCTCCCAGACAGGTGAAGTAAAAAGAGAGAAAACTAAGAAATCAGCGCGGCCGGAGGGGGCGTCTGTGTGGATGGGATGGGGACGCCGGGGGAGGGGCTGGGCCGCTGCTCCCATGCTCTGATCCGGGGGGTCCCGGAGAGCCTGGCGTCGGGGGAAGGTGCGGGGGCTGGCCTTCCGGCTCTGGACTTGGCCAAAGCTCAAAGAGAGCACGGGGTGCTGGGGGGTAAACTGAGGCAGCGACTGGGGCTGCAGTTGCTAGAACTGCCTCCTGAGGAGTCCCTGCCACTGGGACCACTGCTTGGTGACACGGCTGTGATCCAAGGGGACACCGCCCTAATCACGCGGCCCTGGAGCCCGGCTCGCAGGCCAGAGGTGAGCGCCAAGCAAGGGTGTGGTAGGGGAAAGGGTGGGAGGAGCTGATGTCTGGGGTTTGGGGGAAGAATTAAGAGTGTAGTGTCTCAGCCCCGCGCCCTCTTCTCCTGCCCTAAGGTTGATGGAGTCCGCAAGGCCCTCCAGGACCTGGGGCTCCGAATTGTGGAGATAGGAGACGAGAACGCGACGCTGGATGGCACTGACGTTCTCTTCACCGGTGAGGCTGGGGTGCCGGCACCCCTGGGTCTTGGCACAGGGAAGCAGAGTTTGGGAGACTGGGTCGTCTCCGGCCTTGTTTCCAACTCCGCCCTCAAACCTCCGCCGCCTCCTGGACTCAGGCCGGGAGTTTTTCGTAGGCCTCTCCAAGTGGACCAATCACCGAGGAGCGGAGATCGTGGCGGACACGTTCCGGGTGAGGAGAGGGACCAGCCTTGGGAGGAAACGGGTCGGAAGGGCCTGAGAGCCCGCTGGGGAGGGAGAGGCTGAGCGCAGCCTATGCTTGAGGGTATCTATCCCCTCGCCCTTCCCTCGCCCCTGAATACCTTCCCTTGCTCTCCCAAGGACTTTGCCGTCTCTACTGTGCCAGTCTCGGGCCCCTCCCATCTACGCGGCCTCTGCGGCATGGGGGGACCCCGCACTGTTGTGGCGGGCAGCAGCGACGCTGCTCAAAAGGCAGTCAGGGTGAGGAGGGGCGGGGCTGGGGGAGGGGCGGGGCCAAACGAAAGCGGGCGTGGCTCTGGCCGGGGAGGCGGGGAGCTGGGAGGCTCAGGGAATTAGCCCCATCCCTGCCCTCACCTGGCTTTCCCTCTAGTGGTCAGAACACACAAGTAAATAAGAAGTTACAACAGCGGGACAGGGAGCTGGGAGACTGCAGAACAGGGGTGATTAACTTGCTCCTCCGCAGTTTCAAGAAATTCCCCAGAAGTGATCTAAGCTGTGACTCTAAGTATGGATAGGACAGGCAGGTGGGGGCTGGAGAAGGGAAGAAGAGAGTTGCAGGTGAAAAGAACTGCATGTGAGTCCAAGTTGGAAATTAGCAAAGGTAACTGAAGTGCTTAGAACAGTGTCTGACACATAGTAAGTCTATGTGCTTGCTGTCATTATGCCACAAATGTAACTCTATCCCCAGCCCTTAGTGGTGGTAGGGAGGCAGGCAGACTCAATTGTTGAGAAACTGAGACTTGAATGCTTCCTCTTTTCTCTTCCCCAGGCAATGGCAGTGCTGACAGATCACCCATATGCCTCCCTGACCCTGCCAGATGACGCAGCTGCTGACTGTCTCTTTCTTCGTCCTGGGTTGCCTGGTGTGCCCCCTTTCCTCCTGCACCGTGGAGGTGGGGACCTGCCCAACAGCCAGGAGGTGAGGGAGGGTAGGAGCTCCACCACCAACAACCGGAGAAAGGAGTTTCAGGCTTTCCTGGTGGGAGGAAGGAGGGGTCTCTTTTCTAGAAGCCTGTGTGAGGCCCCGGGGGCGGCAGGGGGTGGGGGGCTGGCTCTGGCCTCAACGTCTTACTCCCCTCTCCCCATTCCATGTCCTCCCTGCAGGCACTGCAGAAGCTCTCTGATGTCACGCTGGTACCTGTGTCCTGCTCAGAACTGGAGAAGGCCGGTGCCGGGCTCAGCTCTCTCTGCTTGGTGCTCAGCACACGCCCCCACAGCTGAGGGCCTGTCCTTGGGGTAGGGCAGCACAGGAAGCAGAAGAGGGAGGAGGGTTAGATAGAGGATGTTGAGTAGGGCAGTAGTGGGGAAAGGGCCTCAAGATGGGGGAGGGCAGAGTGTGGGGAAAAGGATAGGGGCCACTGGGCGAGTCTTCTCTCTCAGAACCAATAAAATGGAATTGAACTTTTAGACTGGGCTGTGGCTGGTGTCTTACTGGGGCATAGGGATGGGGCGGGGCTGAAACCCGAGGTTGGGGACAGTTCAGGGAAGGTCTCTTTCATGCAGAAACCTTGCATTATGCATTTGCTGACTCATTGCCCTACCATGTAATAGGTGCTTGGGCACAAGATAGAAAAAACAGAATTTCTACTGTGGCAAATGTGTCCAGGGCAGAGAAGAGAGTGTGTGGATGGATCACTCACTGAGTTTATCTAAATCTCAGATGATTCAGAGAGCAGTAGATTACCAGTCCACCCCTATTTGATAGGGAAAAAGAAATGACACGCCCAGGAACATTCATTTTCATTCACTCATTTACTGAGGCTTAGCAGTGGTATCAAAAGAGTCAGTGTCTTGATGTCAGGGCACATGAAAATTTCTTACAAATCGAAATACAAGTTGTGATGGAACAATTCACAGGAACCTGTTTCTGTGAGGCAAAGAAGGGGCTCCTAGAACATCAGTGTATGCAGGGGTGGGAAAGAAGGGTCAGGAACAACTTCCCAGAAAAGGCTACACTTGAACTGAGTCCTGAGGATAAATAAGAATTAGCCAGGCAGGTAGGGGGATGGAGGGAAGAGGGTAATCCAGGAAGAAGGAATTGCACTGGGCAAAGGCATATTTTGGGGCTGTGGAGAAATTCTCTAAGGCTAGCATGTTTTGTGTATGTGGAGTGACAGAATTAAGCCTGGATAGTGGACAGAGTGCTATAATGCCTTGTACCCAAAGCCAAGGCCCATGGGTGCAGAGTTGAAGGCTGAGGAGAGAAATACTGTAGTTATGAAATAAGGGTTGTCACGTCTATGGCCATACCACCCTGAACGCACCAGATCTTATCTGAAATAAAGGCTGTCAGGAGCATTAAGCACTTGGAGAGGATCTCTCTGACTTCAGGTAGGAAAGCAAAGGCTGGGGATGAGGTGGGGATATGGGGAAAACAGGAAGAAAATGAGAGTACATTCAGGTGGCAGCGCTGGGCATGGAGAAGGGTGTGGATTTGTTAGTGACATTAAAATAGACTGGACTTGATGGCTCATTGTGTGGCAGTGAGGGAGGATGGTCTGCATGACTCCCGGTTTCTGGTTTGGGCAACTGGGTTAATCAAGAGAGAATGCAGAGGAGGATTAAGTGGGTGGCTTGGGAGATGACAATGAATTGGGTTTGACATGCTGGGTGCAAAATGCCTGGGGCCAGTCAGGTGGAATGTCTGAGGAGCAGTTTAGAAATTCCAAATTTGAGATCTAAGCTGGAGAGAGTTCTGGGTGTCATTTTGCAGAGGTGAGTGGGGGCTAAAAACTGGTTGTGGATGAGAGCTTCTTGAAGAGGAGGAAGGGAGAGAAAGGATACCTGTAATCCTAGCACTCTGGGAGGCCAAGGAGGGAGGATCACTTGTGTTTGAAACCAGCCTGAGCAAAATCAAGACCCCGTCTTTACAAAAAATAGAAAAATTAGCCGGGCATGGTGGTAGTCCCAGCTACTCAGGAGGCTGAGGCAGGAGGATTGCTTGAACCCAGAATTTTGAGCTTGCTGTGAGCTATGATGATGCCACTGCACACAGCAAGACTCTGTCTCAAAAAAAAAAAAAAAAAAAAGCAGGGATGGGAGAAAGGGACAAACCTAGAATGGTGGGAAATACTCGGAGGATAGGGAGTAAGGAAGAGGAGTCCAAAAGGAAGACACAAGCAGCAAAGAAAAACAGCTTAAAGAAGGGAGTAATCAAAGGCGAAGCCAGATGAGCACTAAAAAATGTCTACTGGGTGTGGCTGTTAGGGCATCACTGGCAACCTTGAGACAGAGCAGATGAGCAATTTCAGCAGATGAGCAGTGGGGATAGAGTGAAGAAGAACGTGGAAGAGACATATGTATGCCCCTGGTTCAAAAAGCTTGACTGTGAAGGGAAGGGAAGAGATAGGGCAACAATCTAGGAGATACTGATGTCTTAAGATGGGGAGATGGGGCTTGATCTGGTTTAGAGAGGACACCAGTGGTGAAGGAGACATGGGAGCTATAGGAGAGATGGGAGTAAGTGAAGGAGCAAGATCAGTGGCAGAGATAGCCTGGAACAGCAGGTCTCCTGACTCCCAGTCTCCTGCTCATTTCTATCCCATGGTGCCTTCCTCTTCCAGGTGAGGGGCCAAGAAGGGGAGAGGGATTATGAAGAGCTGGGAGCCCCCAGCTTGGGAAGCTTGGAGTAAAGGCTTCCCTTCAAACTACAACTGCGTAGATGGTGGCAGCATCAGCAGGAACCACTGTGGACAGCCGGCGGGGCATTCGGAGGGCCATATAGTCCAGATCCGCGTAGAGCAGGCTCTGAGGGAGGAGGAGGAGGAAGGCAGGATGATCTTGAAGTCTGGTTCCTTTGAGGTCCAGGCCTCTTTGTCGGTCTGTTTTCCTCAGGGATTCTGGCGGGACCCCTTCCCATCCCTTACCGGCTCCTGGTCCAGGTCCCCAGGAATCCTGGGCTCCTCCTCCTTTACTGGCCTTGGGGGCTCGGCTTTCACGAGTGGAGCTATGTGGGGGGGACAGAGCTGAAGGATGGAGAGAAAGTGACCAACTTGTCTGCTCCCAGAAAGGGCTCAGACTCAGGAACTGAGGGGTGGGGGATGTGCAGGTAGGAGAAGGAAAATGGGGTGGAGTTAGTCTCACCAAATCTGGGGAGTGGTCGAAGCGGGGGCGGGGGCGAGCGCCTGTAAGGGACACATAAGAGTCTTTGAACATTGCCAGTCTTGTCTCTCTGGGTCTCCTCAGCCCCAGGCCAGCCGATGACGGCCCAACAACTTGCAGATTCAGACCCCCACCCCCGCCCCCCGCCACACACACAAAACAGTTTAGGCTCTATCCCCATAAACAGTCCAGCCCACGCTCTGACCCCGGGGCACTTCTAGCTTGGCTACTCTAGCCTGGGCTCCACTCGCCAGCCCGTGGCCTCCCTCCCTGATTCTCACCTCTCCCGGTCTTCTCCAAGCCACGTCCCGGGCTCCAGATCTAGCCTTTTCGTTTGAGAAGGTTCTGGTCCTGCCTCTCCCCCTTCTGGTCATGCCCCACTAAGCCAGGGCCCGCCCCTGGTACTCACCTGCGCAGCCACCAGACCACGCCCAAAGCTCCCAGTCCCAGCAGCAGCCCAGCGCACAGCAGCGGGATCAGGAGCTGGGGATACACTGACGCTGGGGGAACAGCGTGGCGGGGAGGGATGCCGAGGTTAGGGGTACGACGACAGAGAGCCAGCTATCTCGCTCAGGAACTCCCAGTCGAGGTCCCTCTCCCACCTCCCGGTACGTGTCGGAGTTAAGTCCTGCTGTGTGCACAGGCCTCGACCTACCGGGGGTAGTCCCTGGGGCCCTGCAGTAGGCCCTGTCCCCCAGTACGTGAAGCACCGTGCGGCTCTCGTCCTCGTGGCGGCCCCTGCAGAAAAAGGTGCCCGAGTCCCCCGCGCTCAAGAGGAGCTCCAGCCGCCGGATACCAGGGTCCAGGGAGCGTAGGCGACCAGCAAAGGGCTGGAGGGGAGGCACGGTGGGGATCCCGCTCGACGAGGCCCACAGGATTGGGCGGCGTCCTTTAGACAGACCCTTGCAGGCCGGGAAGCTAGGCGCCCAGGCCCAGCGGATGGGGTGCGAGACCCCTACGCAGGAGAAATTCACCCGGTCCCCAGGGCGGCCGTCCAGAGAAGCTAGGAGAGGCCGTGGGCGGTGGTTAGGGCAGGTCCACAGGCCAAGACAACCCCCGCGCCTCGGTCTCCTCTTTCTCTCCTCTCCTCCGCCCTCCAGGCCATACTGGACCTTCACACACACACCCCACCCCCCTAGGTGACCCCTTTCTATGCCTCAGTCTTTCTGTGCCCATCACACTTTCCCAGGGATCGCTTACCCCCGGGGTCCCCTTGGGCCCAGGAGAGCAGCAGAGGCAGCAGCTGCAGCAACAGGGCCATGGTTGGGATGTGGATGCAGAGAGGCGGGGTGAATCAGCGGGGGGTGGGGGGGACCGGAGGGAAGTTGGTGTGGGGAGATGGCGGGGCTGGGGGCTGCGATAAGAGCGGGGGCGGGGCCCCCAGCTGCCTGGGTACCTTTGGGAAGCCTCCCAGGCAAACTCACAGTCCTCAACAAAGCTCACTTAAAATTTGTGCTCCAACCGTTTACACAAGCACTTTTGCCTATTTAACTCCTCCAGCGTAGCAGTCGCTGGGAGCATCATGAATTTTGGAGCCCAGCTGCCTGAGTTCAAATCCTGACTTCTATCTACTATCTGAGTGATGTGGGCAAGTCATTTAACCTCTCTAGACCTGTTTTCTCATCTGTAGAATGGGGATAAAAGCACCTATCTCGTAGGGTATTGTGAGAACTAAATGAAGTAATACATGCAAACCACATAGAACAATGGCTGACACATAGGAACGCTATTTAAGTGCTTGCCATTATTATTATTTCTATTCTATTTTAGCTTCTACCTCACCTGTCCTTCCCCGCAGGGGTGCCCCGCCCAAGTCAGCAGGTTTTGATTGGAGAGGTGCTTTGGAACAAGTGCATATGCCCACACCTAGGACTCCAGCAGCCCTCACTGGACTATAGCGACCAAGGCCACACCAAGCCCAAGTGGACCCGGGGTAAGGTCCTGAGAAGTCTGGGGTGGGGGACCTGAGACAGCCCATCCCTAGCAGGCAGGCAGGGCTCTGGCTCTCTCCTGGATGGGCAGCCCCAGCCCTACCCCTCCCATCACAGAAGCCCTCATTGAGGTCACAGATCTTTCATTCTGAAGTGGAACAGGGATTGGAAGACTCGGTGAAGGCTGAAATGAGATAATTCGGCCGTTTCCATCCTCAATTTTTGCTTGCATGCCCCTACCGATGCCCCCCAGGGACTCAAATCTGGCAATTTGTGCTGTATCCCATTGTCCGTTTCCCAGGAACCAGCAGAAGCTACCACCATGGCCACTGTAAATAACAGAAGACTTTGGTGATGCTCCTTCAGAGAACTGGGCAGTCAGGACTCTGAGCTGGCGACAGGGGGGAGCATTTTGGCCTGAAACCAAGCACCAAGATGGAGTTGGCCTCTAGTGGCACCTATCCTTCCCATCCCTCTCTCCATCCCCTCTCCCCACCCAGACCTGCTAGCCCCTACCGCCCTGGTCTTTTCCTCTGGTCAGCTGTGTGTAAATGGGGAGGGAGGGGCTACCAGAGGCAGAGAAGGGAGGAGCCTTTGGCATTATAAATTCCAAAAAGGCCACTCAACTCCCAGAGCTGCATCCCAGAAAATCTACTCTGTCAGCGGCTGCAGCTGCTGCCATTCTCAGGACCCTCACGATGAAAGGTCTTCTGCTGCTCACCCTGTCTGCTCTGTTCTGCTGGGTCTCAGGTGAGTACATGGGGGCCCCAAGGACCTGGTTCACCTGGTCAGGACCTTTACACCCTGCACTACCCACTGCCCTGCGGTACCCACTACTCAGGACCCCAAGCACCCCCAACTGGCCCAGCCCTCCTGTGCCTCCAGGACCTGGCTTCCCTAGGACAGGCTCCTTGCCCCATCTCTCCAGTTCCCGGGTCTCCATCCACCCTCCCCACCTCCAAGAAAGACCCACTTTTCTCACCTGCCAGGGCTCTGGGTCCCGGTCCCCACTCCAGGGTGCCTCCTTCTTGGAAACTCTGATATCCAATTCCTCAGCCAGCGCACTTCGATATGCAATCCTCCAGCATCCAGCTCACCTATCTCCCCCTCTCACAGCCGCGCTCAGCAGGGTGTCCTCTCAGAGACCTATATCCAGCCCCAGGTCCCCTTCGTACTCCACCCTTCCCGCCTACTCCTTCAGGGACTTAGGTGCTCCATCCCTCATCCATGGCTTCCCCCCAACCATAGGGTGCATACCTCCTGTCTTACCAGGGATGCAAGCTTTCTGGATGGTTCTAGGGACCTCTTAGAGCCTCCCATGGAAAGAGGGAGGTTTTTTCTGAGCCTTCTATGAAGGGGATGCCAGGGTCACTCACACGCAGGGTGGGTTTCACTGAGGTACACTTACCAGGCTCTTCTACTCTTGGACCGACCCCTTCTTCAGCAAACCTTGCATACCCACACCTTGAATAAGCTGAAGCAGGAACTTTCGGGTGCCACCTTCTGTACCCACCCTGTTCATTTTGGTAAGCTGCTAAGATGGAATCTGACGATCTGTCTCCCAGATATTATTCCTTTCTGCAGAAGAGCTACTGGGGCGAGAAGATTCCCTTCAGGGCTGGTTCCTCTTCCCATACTCTCACCAGCCCCCGGAAGCGGACAGTAAATTGCTAAAGCTGGCCACAGGTGGCTTTCTTGCCAGCCTCAAGTTCCAAGGCATTTCTGACAGTGTTGTCCCTCTGATTTTTCTTTTTAATATTTCTCCCTCTTTCACAGCTCTATCTTCTCCCCTACCACCCCCATTCCTTCCCCAGGGTATCCTCACATTCCATCTATCCCCAGCCTGCGTTTTTTGTCAGTAGCTCTGCCCCTCTTGACTCATCCCCAAACGGGGTGGAGTGAAGGAAGATATGTAGGGCTTGGGCCTTTCACAAAGACAACAGCTCCACCCTGACCTGCCACCGCCTTCCTGCTTTCGCTGCCTCACTCTCCTGCTCTGTCTCTACCGGACCAAATAGCCCAACAGGTCGGAGCACCTACTTGATTGTCTCTTCTCCACCTTCCCTCCCTACCCCAGCTCAACTTGTCCCCAAGTAAGTCAGAGACACCCGTCACCTCAGCCTGACTCATGTCTCCACAGCTGACATTCGCTGTCACTCCTGCTACAAGGTCCCTGTGCTGGGCTGTGTGGACCGTCAGTCCTGTCGCCTGGAGCCAGGACACCAATGCCTGACAACACATGTATACCTCGGTAAACATCCGCTTCTTAGTGGGGAGAGGGGCAGGGGGAGACTCGGGACTGAGTCCCAGCCAGGGCTAAGACTGAGACAGAGCAGAGAATCATTGCCATGATATTTGGCCAAAGATGGTTTTGTACCGTGTACTATCCCATGTCTTTACATGCATCGTTTCAACTGACATTCATGACAATCCTCTGACGTGGTGCCATTATTATGCTGAGGAAACAGCCTCAGAAAGAGACAGTAGGAGGTGCGAGGCCTCCTGACCAGCAAGTGATAGAACCAGGAGGGGGGTGGGTCAGGAGGTGTAGGAGGAAGACTAGACTGAGAAGAGATAAAGACAAGGAGGGCCAGGGCAGAGTCGGGATGAAGGATGCCTGAGTGAGCATGTGGGGTGGGGAGGAAGACACAGCATGCCAGGTGCCCATTGTAGCTGACCCCTGCCCGTTCCTACCCCTAGGCAAGATGTGGGTTTTCTCCAACCTGCGCTGTGGCACCCCAGAAGAGCCCTGTCAGGAGGCTTACAACCAAACCAACCACAAGCTGGGCCTGACCTATAACACCACCTGCTGCAACAAGGACAACTGCAATAGCCCAGCCCCCCGGCCCACTCCAGCCCTGGCCCTCATCTTCCTCACCTCCTTGGCTGGCCTTGGTCTCTGGCTGCTGCACTGAGACTCACTCCATGGCTGCCCCCCAACTGCCTTAGCCTCTCTCCCTGTGTCTCTGCAACCCTTGGCTTCCCAGAGTCGTCTCTCCCTCTCTCTTTTGCTCTGAAAAGAGTTTCCCCATGGCAGGGCGCGGTGGCTCACACCTGTAATCCTAGCACTCTGGGATGCCGAGGTGGGTGGATTGTTTGAGCTCAGGAGTTCGAGACCAGCCTGAGCAAGAGCGAGACCCCGTCTCTACCAAAAATAGAAAGAAATTAATTGGACAACTAAAAATATATAGAAAAAACTAGCCGGGCATGGTGGCGCATGCCTGTAGTCCCAGCTACTTGGGAGGCTGAGGCAGAAGGATTGCTTGAGCCCAGGAGTTTGAGGTTGCTGTGAGCTAGGCTGACGCCACGGCACTCTAGCCTGGGCAACAAAGTGAGACTCTGTCTCAAAAAAAAAAAAAAAAAAAGAGTTTCCCCAGTCCCTTCCCATTTCTTTAATTAAACAGCACCCCAGAGTGGTCTCCCTCTCCATCCTTCCCACCCCACACCCCACTCTGCTTCTTCTGAGTCCCTTCCCATTTCCCTCTAGACAACTCCGGAGCCTCTGTCTGTCCCTAGAAGGACACCCCACTTTGTGTCCTACACGCTACTGTGCCCTACTTGGGGAGGGATTGGGACCTGGGCCTGAAATTGGGCTTCTGTCCTGTCCCCAGTGAAGGCTCCCAGGAAGGACCAGATGACCTCAGTGCAGGGGCTGATTCCCCAAACTCTGGCTCCCATATGTACCCAGTCCCCATACTCACCTCTTTCCATGTCCACTAATAAATGTCTGTGTCTGCTAAATTGTGCATTTTTTATCAGAGGACCTAAGTGTCAGGCTGCCTCCAGGAAAAAACACTCTCAGTTCCCCTCCACCCTCACCCAAGAGTCCTTCAGGGAGTTTTCTGGGAGGCTGTGCTGGAACAAATGGAGGAACAGGTTTTTCAGGCCTCCATCCTCCCTTCCGGTGTCTGGGGGTGGCACACAGGCCTCAGTGTTTTGGAGAAACAACCCTATCCTAAATTCAAGCCACACCCTTGATGTACTGCCAAGAAGAAGGTGCAGGCTGGCTTGAGGGTTCCCCAGAAAAGGTAGGAGAGGTACAAGGGAATGGGGCCTGTGACCTTCCCTCAGTCTCCCTCAGGTTGGAGTCAGAGGCCTCACCTGGCCCAGTTACTAAGTGGGGCGCCAAGCGACTCTGCTATCACAGTGCTTACGTTTCCTTTCACAATTCAAAATAGTCCTATTGGGCCACACTAGTGGCTCACACCTGTTCTCCCAGTGACTCAGGAAGCTGAGGTGGGAGGATTGCTTGAGGCCAGGAGGTAGAGACCAGCTTGGGCAACAAAGTGAGACCCTGTCTTATAAAAATAAATGAATAAAAACAAAAACAAAATAGTCCTGTTGGAAGCCAAGTTACAAATGGGGGGAAGGGGAGGAAACCCTTCCAGGCTCATGGAACCCTAGTGACCCCCACTCAGCCCAGAGCCTGCTCCCCTCAGTGAACCTCATTGCTAAGGAGACTCTCTGGCTGGGACTGAGTCCCAGCTGAGGCTAAGACTGAGGCAGATCCCCAGCAACAGGATCCAGGGACCACTGAGGGCAGATGGGCCTTTGTCCTTTGGGATTTGGTTGGTTAAAGAGTGCACTATTGTAACTAAGTCCACTGAGACTTGATAACCCCCAAACTAGGACTTGGATGCACCATATTACTCCTTCAGCCCTCCTATGAATAAAAGATACATGGAATTTTCCAGTCAGCTCTAGAGTGGTCGATAGATTTTAATGGCTCACAGAGGAGTGCTTGTCTTTTCACCTTAGATGTTCAGATGTCTCTTGCTCCCTTGTTCCCTCCCCTATCCCTGCTCCCTCTACCCACTCCATAGTCCCAGCAAGAGCCAGGCCAGGGCGGTAGCTGCTGCAGCCAAGATGCAGGCAGGGGCCACGTGGCTTGCCACGGCGCTATTGCACAGGTCTCCAAGGCAGCAGTCCCTACGGGTTGTGTAAGTCACGTCTCCCACCGACTCTGTTTCCACTTGATTGCAATGATGGGCTGCCACGCAGGCTGGATGTTGACGAATCAAGGTCACTGAGGCTGAGAGAGAAAATGAGACAGGGGTGTTGGACTCCTGGCTTCACGACTTACCTTCTGGGGCAGAGCAGATGTGATTTCATGGAGCCCAAAGGGAGTCTCTGTCCCCTCAAAAAACACCTCCCTGGGCCGGGCGTGGTGGCTCACGCCTGTAATCCTAGCATTCTGGGAGGCCGAGGCGGGCAGATTGTTTGAGCTCAGGAGTTCGAAACCAGCCTGAGCAAGAGCGAGACCCCGTCTCTACT